ATTAAAGAGCATAAATGACTAGAAATCTAAATTGGAGACAACAATCTTTATAAAAATTTCTAGTACCATAGATAATTTGCTCGTATGCTTGTACCTACATACATATATATAATAATAGCTCTTCAAATTATTATATATAAAACTAAAGCGAATACACACACGTATTTGTCGGAATCACCCAAAATTCTTTCCATATCAAGACAAAATTAAGTAATAGCACTCAATGAGAACTGTATTCTCATCTCATTGCATGTACCAAAATTGTATCATGCAAAAAATAATTCCTGCCTACTTTTCCGGTGAAAAATTCGACTTATTTTTTATTAATAACTTGAAAAATCGAAATTTAGAAATGCTTACAGCTTCGAAATAATACGAAAATTAGCAAAATATTTTGAAAGAGGGAAAAGATTAGCAAAAACTCTTTTCCCAAATATTTATTTGTATATAAAACTTCTAATTTCTATGTTAAGGGGTGTAGAGGTTTTGTAAACAGACGCAAAGTTGGATAAACGGATAGAATGAGTCTAAAAAATGCATATGTATGTTTTTTGTACTTCAATGAAAATGCGCAACCTTTAAAACGATCCGACTGATTTGCAAGTTATAAGTTAAAATTTTTAATTTTAATCACATGCAATTACATATACTTCTACATTATAAACAATACGGTAAATAGGACATCCTTAGATACCTATAACGGATGGACTTATTGTTATACCTTGTATATAATTTATAATGACAATTCTCAACATTTTACAAAATTATGTGTTCTTAATAATTCTCTATGTTTTTTTTTTTCAAAAAAATATTTTATAATCCATCATTACAAAAAGTATAAAATATTCAATAAGGAAATCTTTTACAATCCTTTCATATACAAGTAATCTAATCATTTTTATGCATATACATATATGTATATATGTTATTATGTAGGTTATAAAGAGTTATGTAGTTGACACGCTACGCGCATTGTCAATATTTCGCATTTCAGCGTATAAAATAAAAAAAATATCTCTTTCTTTTTTTGTGTTTAACAATACGTTTGCATAAATATTGAAAAAGTGTGACTTTAATGGACGTTGAGATGAAATATGTTTCCTTCCAATATTTCTATAAAATATAATGTAAATAAATTTAAGTACAAGTGTACACTTTACTTATTATATACATAAGTACAGAATGGTTAGCAGTAAAATGAACGATAAGACCTATTCAATGAGAGCCTAAAACTTTATTATGATTTAAATTAAATTTGAGTAAATTTTCTTCAATTTTCATGTCTGTTCATGAAGTTGAAAATTAAATATGTTGCAAACAAAAAACAATTTTATTTGAATCGGTAAATTAATCATTACCATATGGAGTTCAAAAATATAGTTGTCTGTAACGATAATACGTCCAATGGCAGATTTACAATCTAAAATTAATTACTCAACGAACTCATTTTTATCATATTATTTTAACAAAATATTGAAATTGAATATTTAAACCACCTTTTAATTACGTTCACATATAACTTAAGAGTTGAGATAAACTGATATCGTCCTCTCTTAGAAACATCCCTTACTTTAAGAACGTATAAACATCAGTGTCATTTTTCCTTTAAATGACTATAATGCCAATTATTTGATGTTCTATATAAAAATTTAAACAGATTTAGAATAACTTGGTTAAACGGAATTTTTAAGTTTCCACTCCGAAATATTTGTATCTCACATAACATTTTTGAATCACTTGAATTTTTTATTACTAAAAACATCGCTACTTTTGTTGAAAGGAAGCTTTTTGTAATGAAACAGCCTGTAGAAACATCATATAAGTATTAAATGCTGACATAATGAACATAAATAGACACATAGGTATATATACACGTATACGTAATAGCATAACTACGTCTACTTTCCTATAATTACGAAAAAATTTTCATTTATTTCTTGTCACTTTTATTAAATTCTATAATATACACATAAGAGAAAAATTGGTTCACTTAATTTTTTGTTATTTGCTTTTTTTTTAATTTCTTTTGCCGTATAAGAAAAATAAAAATTAAATGCTACTATCTCCTCAATATACCATAAATTTTTAAAATTATAATGCAACTGCAGCAAGTAGCGAGCCCATAATGTTCAGCAAAGCGCAATAATAATTATTGTAATTGTAAATATGCGCATATATGTATACATACATACATGTACGATTGAATAATGTAAATTGAGTAATAAAATAACTGAATTGCATACTACTTTTATATTATGTTCCATGTACATACATATATGCTATATACGCATATGGTAATAGCATGTTGCAATCACGACATGAAATAAAATTAATGTTGACATTAGGCGCGTTTAATAAGTGGTCTTTATTATATAAGTATAGGAGAGAAAGAAAGAGAGATGATGGTGATCACTTAGCCGAAAACAAATATTGAGGTCAGCATATTAAAATATTATTATTATACATTTTTTTCTTTGTATATAATTTATAGGTACATTACTGTTCAATGTAATACATACGTGTATAGAAAATTTCGCAGGAAAAATGAAAAAAATTAAGTGATGAATTCTAAGATTTTTTTTGTCGCCTAAAATATAATGACTCTTACAATTTTCTTACACTTATTTCAAAATACGAGTACATTAAGTACTCAGCTCTACATAATATCGTAATATATCTAAGTAATTCTTGGCTTCGTATATAATTATGTACATGAAAAAAATATGAAGTTCTGGTGAAATTCAACAAGAGTGCATCATTACTCAATTCCATAACCACTCTATATTACGTTACATGTTATTTGCATTAAAAAAAAATAAAATTAGTTTCAATAGCATCCTAAATAACTTAGCAATTTAACATATTCTTTTTTTTTTTTTTTTGAATTGGTGTTATAAAATAATTATTTCAATGGTGTTAACAAAAAAATTATGGTGGAATTTTAGTAGCACGAGCGCCTCTATACACTTATGGGTAATAAAGAATACTTAAGTATGGAATAGAATATGAGAATTAAGGATAGAAATTAACTTAATCCATTTTAAGTAGCATTTTATATAAAGAGAGTTAATAATATACCATATATATATTGCTTTCATTGAATTGAGTAATAATTTGTTCATTCAAATTTATGATTGGGTATTGAAAGTATTCAGAAAAAATTCACGAAAGCTATTCTCTTTGTTTATTTTTGTTGACTCAAGGCTCCATGAATAAAACTTTATTTTAAAAAAAATTTCCTGATTATCAATTTTACAAGCAAATTACATATTTTGTTTTAACTAATTGCAGTTCCTATAATTAAAAAATACAATATTATAATTATACTTAGTTTTAATTGAATGTAATTTTTGAGATTTATAATGATTATTAATTAGGTTTACCGATTTATATAACTGGTAACAAATTAAAAAATTTCATAATTTCTTCAATAAGAAATTTTATTTTTTAATTTAAACGATACAAAAATGTATTGAAATAATTCGCTATTCATTACAATAAAATTTTGCATAAATTCCGGAAATCTTCATTATATAATTTTCAAAAAATTTATGCTAAAAAACCTTAGATTGTTTTACTAACTATTTTATTTAAAGCTTAAGAGTCTACTTTTTGTTGAGAGGAACGATTTAAAAAGGAATTTTGTTTCAGTAAAATGAAATGTTTATTGTTATCTAATTACTTTTAAAATAACTTCAAAAATTATAAACTATAACTTGAAGCAAAGGAAGTATACGAAAAAAATTTTATTCTATAAAGAATTCAGTTACTAAGGTTTATTTGTGCACAATTTTATCTTGAGCAGTATTGAAATTTTGAAAGCAAATGAATAGCCGGATAAACAGAGTGTGACAGAGTGTGATAAATATTTGGAAATGTACTAAAAACCAACGTTTTTCCTTGATACCTAATGAAACACAGTATTGCAATCGCATATCAACTGAAATCCGCAAGTGTAAGCTAAATGAACTTGATTGTAACAAGCATTTGTGGAATTGCAAGGCACTCTTCTAATTTAATAACAGGAACATAGAGTGCTGCCAAAAGAAGAAAAAAACAAACCTTTAAAAAAGCCGAGCATGTTTCTTAGTTCTATTCTAATAACAGATGCAGGTTTGGACAATAGATGTTGTGTCAATAGATATAATAGTAAAGTTATATCATAATATTATGTTATACATATGTATTATGATAGGTCAATAAAAAACATGGAAGTGATGGAATTATTTTAAAGCTTGGCAGTCGATCAAAGATCTTTGCTCTAAATACGCAAATTCAGTGAATCAATTTTGTTCACAAACTCTGCTAATGGAAAATTGTTTATGCACCAATATGAAAACTAGTGCATGATATCATGCTAGTACTATACTCCTCCTAGGAATGAAGAAGAAAAAAAAAATATTTTAAATATTTTCGAAGTACAAAATATAATATTGTTCATTCTTTGCATCCGCGAAAATAATTTTCCATGGATAGTTCACTTTTTCTTTCCTTTTTTTTGCTCTAACACATTCACCTGTGGAAATCCCTGTTGAAAAAATACCTAAAAAATGTATACATAATCAGAATCCTATAATGTCTTTAGCATACTGCACTCTTGTGGTGATTTTCATAAAAAGAAAGGGATTGCGCCCATCTAGCGGAAGATGCTGCAAATATATATAATAATTTGCACTATATCTGTTTCGCACGTATTTGTTTCAAAGCAATTTTATCTTTCAATAAAACGGTTTATGTACATGATGAACAAAAAACATTTATTTTTAAATATTGCGTGTAGAGGAATTTGGCATAATTAGTTGATACCATTATAGATCCTATTACCATTACCATTTTTATCACTTTATTCACCTATCAGGCGTAATACTAAACATGTACGCTGGTGCTTGTCTAGGAAATTTTCTTTTTGTATTATTTGACAAATATTAAAATTTAATAAAAAATTTGTTGTTTAGGAGCCTCTGCTATATGACTTTTTATTTGACATGTAACATATGACCGGTAAAGATATAAATGAACATGTGTTGTTGTTTTGTTGTTCTTTAAAATAAAAAAATATATTAAAGTGAAAAATGTTGACAGTATTTCGTACATTTATAATTAAGTGAGTATTTAATAATTTTTTAAATTTTTACTAATAATTCTCATAAATAAAATTTTTAGGTCAAAATCACTTTTGTCAAATGGTCGAACAACATGTGAATGTTATGTATTATCAAATTCTTTAGTCAGAAATGCTAATGGGAATTTGAGATCATTGTCGACAACTTCTATTAATTTAAAAAAAAGGAAAACTTCTGAAGAACGGGTACTGTTGTATAACAATTTATAATTGTAAGATTAGCTAATTCAGTCATTGTTAAATTTAAAATACAATTTGTAGAAAGCTGAAGCTGAAAAAGGTTTTGTGAAAAAAGAATTAAACAAAATTAAACTTCAAGGTGTAGTAGACGTTTGGAGAAATATTACTGTACAAGAATTGGCCGAGAGGATGAAACGTAGTTTGGGTAGATATTTGTTCCAATAAAAATATTTATCATTATATGTACATATTACAGTTACATAATTCTTACGTTTTCATGTCCCAGAGCATGTTCAAGAAACTATGTTGTATGTAAAAGGGGCTGATAATATAGAGCCTACTAGTAAATTGGAAGATATGAAAATCATCAGAGAAATTGTAACGAAATGTGGCATGAAGTGTCGTTTTGTAGCCGCACCAGAAAAATCGATTGAACCAGAGAGTGCACTCAAAGATAAAGATGTCTTTCCAAGACCACCAGCCTTGCCAGAAAATTTAAAACCACGTTCACCTGTTGTCACAGTTATGGGTCACGTTGATCATGGTAAAACAACTTTATTAGATTCATTACGTGGAGCTTCAGTTGCAGCTGGAGAAGCCGGTGGGATAACGCAACATATTGGTGCTTTTACAGTAAAATTGGAAAATGGTGAAAGTGTAACTTTCCTAGATACACCTGGTCATGCCGCATTTAGTGCGATGAGATCTAGGGGTGCACATGTTACTGATATTATAGTTTTAGTAGTTGCCGCTGATGATGGTGTAATGGCTCAAACAAAAGAGGTTATTCATTTAGCGCAAGAGTGTAAAGGTAAGGCATATTTATAAAAAAAGAATCAACAGATTTTCTTTTTATCAACAGATTCTCTTGTCTTGATATTAAAATTTGTCTAAATTTGAATTAACCAACCTTTTCTTTAAGGCTGTTATTTAAACGAATATTCTTTAGTTGCGTTTTCGTTTTTTCTAAATAAGCTAAATTAAGTCATAAATTTTTCAAATAGTTGTAGAAAATAATTTACCTAGTAGAAAATAATGTAATAGAATTGTTGCCGTACATTTTTTATTCAGCTGCCTTAAAGTTATAATATACAGAAATTTTATTACTATGACTTTTTTATAGCATCTCTAGATTTAAAAGAAAACCTATTTGATACTATCTTTTTGGTCACTATTATTGTTTCGGTGTTTACTACTTAAACTTTCAGGAACTGCCACACTTATATGTTTGATCGGACATAATTTCGAACCAATTTTTCAATACATATTTTGCTATGTTACAAATTTTCTTAATTAGGAAATGTACTTTAAAATTTTTTGTAACAAAAATAAAATATTCTGAACAGCAATTAGTTTAGAAAATTTATATTTTTCCTTTTATTTATTTAGCTTTTATTACGATTGGCAAATGTGCTCCAGAAACCTATTAAATTGTTCCTGGCCTATATACAAAAAAATTTTGTTTTCCTTTTCAGTTTTTACCCTTTCTAATGAAAAATTCTAATCATTTATAAATTTAAATATGTACTTATTTATAATTTGATATTGACGAGCAACTAACTTAGCATAATATAACATCTTGTTTTATTTTTAGTTCCAATTATCGTTGCCATTAATAAAATTGATAAACCGGAAGCTGATATCGTAAGTGAACATATTTTTCTCATTCCGCATTTGTTTTAATTGTTTCGATTCATTTTATATAACTTAATTTTTTTTCATTTTTGTTTTTTTTTATTTTGTTTCTTTTTTCATGATTTGTTTATTTATACATTGAAATATTGTTTGAAGAAATTTTGAAATGTACTAATTTATTAATAAGATCTTTTATGCGCGTAAATCTTTATATTCTTTATAAATGAAATTACATTAATTTTAAATTATAAAACTTTACAAATTTTCAATTAATTTTTAGGAACGAACAAAACGGGATCTTATACAAATGGGATTAGCTTTAGAAGGTCATGGTGGAGATACGCAATGTGTTCCAATTTCAGCATCGAAAGGTACAAATTTAAAAGAGTTAGCTGAAGCAGTAAGCACTCAAGCCACGCTTATGAATTTAAGAGCTGAAAATATAGGTTTAGTTGAAGGAGTTGTTGTTGAATCCAAAACTGACACAAGGCGCGGGTGAGTTTTATATCAAATTAGTGTTTTATTTGTATGTCTATAGTTATAGTGTATAAGTTAAAATTTCTGAAATTTTAGTGTTTTGCTTGGTATTTTAGGTTTTTCTAAACTTAACTGTGAAGTATTTTTTTTAATTCAGGAAATTATCTTCCGCTATCGTTACTCGTGGTACATTAAGGAAAGGATGTATACTAGTTAGCGGCTTAGCGCACGCAAAAGTAAGGATTTTATTTGATCATAATGGTACACCTATTGATGAGGCTCCACCAGGAACCCCTGTGGAAATTTTAGGATGGCGTGAATTACCTTTAGCTGGAGATATAATTTTAGAAGTTGAATCAGAGGTAAAGTATTCGAAAAATGTAAACATTTTCATAGTCTAATGAAAAAAGAATATTTTTATATTATATTATATTGTATATCAAAATATTAAAAGTACACATACCTATATATATAGTTATTTTGAAAAAAGAAAATTAACTATTTAACATGATTTCCAAAATCAACAAGTAATAAAATCAAAATTTTAAAGGTCGAATACTCGGTTTTTATTATAGTACATTTTTTTGTACCAAAAAGTTACATATTTAGAAAAGTGTTTTAAAAAAACTATACGCCAATGTCAGCTTTTCAGATATTCAATTCATATATAAACTACATACATTTGTATTTTAAAAATTGTTTAGATAAGTTGAAAGCATTAAAATTATTTTAACTTATAATAAATAATCAAAATAATTTGAAATTTCATATTAAAAAATACATAAAAAAATTTAAATAATTTCAGAAAAAAGCGCATTCAGTGCTTAGGTTTAGAAACAATGAGCTATCAAAAAGCAAAGCAGAAGCTGATTTAAGTGAAATTCAAAAAAAAGAAGAAGAACATTTAAAAAAATATTTAGCCGAGAGAGAAGAACGTCGATCATTAGGCGTTAGATATTTAAGAAAAAAAGGTGATAGACCGAAAACTTATTTACCAGATGATGGGAAGCCGCGCGTAAATATAATTCTAAAAGGTGATGTTCACGGTTCTGTTGAAGCTTTATTAGATGTAATTGAAACATATCACAGTAACGATAAATGCCGCTTAGATGTCGTACATTATGGTGTTGGGGATGTCAATGAAACTGATATAGAATTTGCATCAACATTCAAGGCAATTATATACGCTTTCTCTGTTAAACGTCCTTCGAATGTGCCTAAAGACGTTGTAATTAAAGAATACAATATAATTTACCGGTTGATTGACGATTTGAAAGAAGAAATTAGCAAAAAATTGCAACCTGTTGAAGTAGAAGATCTTGTAGGTGAAGCAAATGTTCTACAAACATTTATGATAACAGAAGGTAAAAAAGAAATACCAGTAGCCGGTAGTCGCTGTGTTAAAGGCGTTCTTAAGAAAAATGCTAAATATAGGTTAATTAGGAATGGTGAATTAATTTATGATGGTATTAATTTTTTGAAATATGCATTTCAAAATGTATGTACATTAAGTATTGGTAATTACAGGTGAACTATCCTCAATGAGACATCTAAAAAATGAAGTTGATTCAATTAAAAAAGATGTTGAATGTGGTCTTAGATTAAAGGATGAAAGTATAATTCCTCAAAATGGTGATACACTTATATGTTATTCGACACATATGGAATCACAAAAAACCGATTGGGATCCAGGATTTTAATGTTTTAATAAATTCTTAGTTTTTAATTGTTAGTATTGAAATTTAATTAAAAACTTAACATTAATAGGTTAAGTATTACATAAAAGTTCGTTTTGATATTTTGCTAAACATGTTGTGTTTAATTTTTTCGAGCAAGTTAAAATACACTTTTAACTGAGTATTTAGGCTAATAGATGATATTTTTTTTAGAAAATGTTTTTGAAAATGTTGTTTGAATGTGGTTTTCTTTTTTGAGAAAAGTTTTGAATTTGAAAATGTATACTATTCTAACCGTCATCACGAAACACATTTAAATGTTGTTTTTACCGCAATATTTAAAATTTAACTATGCTTAGGGTAGCGTTAAGTATACAAGTATTTATATTTAATATCAATGTAATTTTTTAACAAACAATCTTGTTGACAACAAAGTGTTCGTATCCTTTTATTTAAAACTTAATTTAATAGTTTGTATCGGTTTTCACTTTCAACCCACATATTTCCGATAAATTATCCTTGAAAAGTGTTAAATTTTATCAAAATTATGTCATCTAGTAACTTACTATAATCGACATAAAGTTTTTTTAATTCTGTACTTGTAAAAAAATTCGGAAAGTATTCGAAAAACGGATATTAAAAGTTCATTCATAAATAATTTATCAGCATAATTAAGCGTGTATTATATTATGTACAAAATTAAATACGTTTAATATGTGTATAAAATAAATATTTTATAAAAAATCTTTCTAAGCTTAGATGCGTATGGTATATTTTTATTATGGCCTAATTTTGTATTCCCATGAGTGTTTTATCAAAAAAAAAATTCTATAGCGTGTGGGTTTCTTTTTTGATTTGATAAAAGCTTCTTTCTTATTATTCTTATAATTTTTAGTTTTATTTTATTAAAATATAAAATAATATTAGTTGAGTTTATGTAAAATGAATAGAAATTAAAAAAAAGAAAAACTAACAGAATTTTCGGCAGACTAACCGCGAAAGTAAAAATCAAAAAAATTATGTAACAGTCAAAAAAATTTCATATATTTTTAGAAACCAGAAGTAAAAATTGTGCGTGATGTTTTTTTTATTTAGATTAGAAAATTGTGTATTTCCGATTTTGTAACAAAAAAAAAAAATTTGTTTTAGAACTTAGTTGTATGGTAACAAAATTATTCAAAAAATTAAATACTTTTTTATGTATAAAGCAAAAATTTTATCTAAAATTCTTTTTACATAATTATACTAGAAAATTATTCAAAATTTATATACACTAAGTTATAAGAATTTTTGATCATATTTTATTCTTTCATCAAAATTTGTTATTAATTATGAGAAAGTTACAGTAAATTCGGTGCATAGATCATTTATCCATTCCCAAGTACGTCAAAATTTTAATAAAGCAGTAGGGTAACAAATTAATTTTATCCGATAAAATATTTTATTTTATTTATCAGCATATTTATTTGACAGCATATTTTATTTTATTTATTATTAATATTAAAATTTTTTGATTCGAAAAAGCTACAGCTGCATTTAAAAATTATTTGAAATTCAGCTTTCAGCTAATTTCAATAAATTTTTATAATTAGGCTGCATTTAGACTGTAATGAAAATAAGTTTACACCGACTCCTCTTATTGCAAATATCGAATTCATTTAAGTATGAAAATTTCTTTAACGATTTTGGAATAGTAATTAAATATTTTATTCGATTTTATTTAATTTCAAAGTATGATGCAAAAATGTTATATACAAAACTAAAGAAAATAAATAAAATATTTTAATAGATTTTCTGTTACGTAATTTTATGAAATAACATTTTGTACTTGTGTTCATTAAATAAATTTCAATATGTGGGCGATGAAACTATGTGTATACATATTGGGGGATAGTATTTGTTGTATGATGTTTTCTAATTTAAATTTTCTCTTCATATTCAGTTAAATAAGTATGTGAATTATTTAATATATATATGGATATTTAAAATAATTTTTTTACTTTAAAGAGTAATGAAATATTTAACTCCATCATTAGTTACTATGTAAAATTCTTGATTTTCTTTTCCCTTTTTTTTCTTCTACAATGAGTGCAACACGCTAGCCATAAAATAATGAATGAAATTTGTAACTCAATTTGTTTTTTCTGATTTCATTTGCTCTTATCTTTATTTCAGTTCCGTTTTTCTAATTAGAATTTAAATATTATGATTATGAATTATAATATGTACATAGATGAAATATAAAAAGTTCCACTCGTGTCCGTCTGGTTTATTAAAAAAAAACGTTAAAAATTGATATTTATGAATGTAAAATTTTATTTCTCAAATTTCAAATAACAAATATGAAATTTGAGAAGATTTTAAACAATTTTGTTTTTGCTTTTAAGAATTAAGTACATTGAACAGTTTTAAATGTTTTTATTATAAAAATACATTAAAATATGGGTATATGTATGTATGTTTGTACCCATTATTATATATTCCATAAATGCATTGTTTAATAGGTGAAATTTGTAAAAATTCTATGTCATGTTATTATACTTGTGCTTAGTTATTTTGAAACAAATTAACATCATATCAATATTACTTAATTCCTCATCAGCACATCATTCTTATTTTTCAGGAAATATTACAAAGGAAATAAAAAGGAAATTAAATAAGTTGATGGTACAATTGTCGACAAATTTTCTAGACAAAATTATATGCATATGTACATGGGTTTATACATATAGTATGTAATTAATATAGTATGTAATAAAAATATCAGCTTTACTTAATTTTAGTTTTCGATTAACTAATTTTATTTTCAAAGCATTTTTAAGATGTAATGTAGACGTATATGAATGTAAAATACTATAAGAAACTTTGTGTTGACCAAACATTAATTCATTTTTAGCACGTAGGTACTTATTGAAAAATACCAAAGTGCAATCTTTCAGAATAATATTAATTATTTTCATATTGCATTCTATATTTTTAATATGAGATTGATGCTTGTAAATTTCTAAATTTAAGACTCTAAAATACTATATCATATTTTAAAACATTTCAAATATCATTTAGGAAATATAACAGTCATATAAATACATATACAAAAACAAAACTTGTTTTATAAAAATATTTAAAATTTAATTGTCCCGAGTTCTTCAGTGATTCTTATGTTTAGTTTAATTTAGAATAAAGGGCTTTTACACGCATTATCTCATTATTGGTAAAATATTTGCAGACAATTATAGGAAGTTAGAAAACAATAAGCTATTAGATACATATAACTGTGGCAATAACTATTAGATACATATAATATGGAGTGTTCCGTTTGTTTGTTAATTAAACTATAGTACATTATTTTTTGATTGTGGTTGATCTTTTTTTTGCAAAATAAAACTATATTAAGGTAACTGAATGGATAAAATATTGATAATAATCAATCTAAAATACTGGAAACATAATATGTAAGTACCAATAGTAACTATATGCATAATTAACGGATATATCACATAAAAGAGTAGATTCACTTTTCGAAGGTTGGATCCGATATAGTTATTTACTATATCAGATATATTATAGAAGATTGCATTGTAGGATTATATATTATAGAAGGATTGTAGGAAGCAGATTTTAAAATAGTGCCAAAAGTAGATATCTGTATTATCGAACATTTGCATATTTATAATTCTAGTAGACTGTATTCAAGGTATCTTATTGTCATTTATTATTTGGATGATTATTTATATATTCTATTAGCTTTTTATCTTGTTCTTAGCTTTTTAACTTCTTTAAATCTATTATTCAGCCTTGTCCAATAGTAGTGATGAAACATATAGAGTTCAAATATTTTGTGTAATAAATTTAAGTTAAAAAAAACTTCAGTATACTAAGAGAATACTGCCTGATTTTAGATTATTACTATAGTAGTAAAACGACTGTTGAGATGCGGTAGTCTCTATAGTAAGTGTAATATCCTACAATTGTACTGTATTATTATATTCTATACAAGAATGAATAATTTTCCGGTTCTGAACCGCAATTTTTAAGATATTTCAATCAAACTCTATTAAACTTTTTTTTTTTTTTTCTACAACGCCATGAATCAAATCCACCATAATGAAAAAGAAAAAAGAAGAGACTGCAAAATTTTATTTGAAATACATAATTATAATAGAATGCTTATTTTTATTTAATTTATTGCTAAGTTTTATATGAGTCAATATTTTATTAGAAAACAGAATTTATGCTTAGGTATATCTTAAAAGAATAAAAGGGACGTTGTTTAATGAATTAATATGGACATGTGTTTAGATTTTGTTAGATAGGCGCCGCACCAACCTTATGTTTAGTTATTTCTTTTATTCTTATGATACATTGTTAATATTATTATTTGCTATTATTAATATCGCGTTTTAGGTACCTAACCATAATATGAGAATGTAAGTATGAATATCAGTTTGTAAATATATGAACACACTTATACATGATATACGTATATGGTACACAACATAAGAAATGTTTTATCTTATAAAAATTAAGTTGAAGTCCGTTTTGAACACCTCGCATAGTAAGTTTTACATTTATTTTTCCTCTTATATAACGCAGTGTAATAAAACTCCGTTGAATTGATTGTATGATGATCTTTTTATTTTATTTAGTTCATAAAAAATTTATGTTTTCACGTACATATGTACATACATAGTTTGTTTTTTAATATTATTCAAGTCTCCGTCATCTTTTTTTGTTTCATAAACGTTTTTCAAAGTCTGTCTGCTGTATTGAAAGAAAGTTATATATAAGTATGTAAAATGAATGGAATTTTATTATAAAGAGCATTTGTTAAAAACTACCATAATCCTTTTTTTTTAAAGTTTTATGATTTTTGAACTCAGTTATTGCCCCTTTTTAAAATTTTTTCCTTAATTTTAATTTTTAAAATATTTTATAATTTTATTAATTTTTTTTTCAAAAATAAATTAAACAAAGTATGTAATCTTTTGTGGTACGATTTGCTCTTGTACAGCGAATGATCGCATTTATCACTTTTGTATAGGTATATGGGTTTATGAATATTGTTTTACATATAAAAGTGCGTTAGATTTTAATACCTAACATTAATAACAGTTCTCATATCAGACATTAAT